ATGCACAATTCCCTATATCAAATATGACGCCTTATATGTGGTTCTTTAAAAAGTTTATAGCGTTGTATTAATTAAATGTACTTCATTAATAATTATCATTCAAATATATTTTTGTTCAGGCAAAGATAATGTAAACAATGTTGATGCAAGGTATGTTTAAAATCTCTCATTGTACAAGAAATATATCATTGTATAGTTGTGACGCAATATTCTTAATATTTACTCTTCATTAATACAACATCAATGTTTAGCACTTGTTTATGAATTCCAGAAATGACAGCATTTATACTGACTTAGAGGACATGTCAATAAAGCCAATAGAAGAGTACGAAAGTCTCGTCAAAACAAGAACTAAACAAGGTAAAATCTGGTATATTTCCATAACATTGAACTGTTATTTGTAACTGTCTTACATTCATTTACTACAAAAACATCCCATGTAAATGTACAAATTACATAAATTTCATGATCTTGACTTATTCATTGCATTGGTAAAAACAGGCAATATTTATAATATAATTTAATGAAACGAAAATACAATAAAACTGTTACATATTCTATATATACTGTTTACTCTCACAGAGGAATTGGATTTTTCTCCCTTTTCGACGGAAACGCATAAGGTAACTTTATTGTTTAAAAATAGCACGCTCTTTCACATGCATATGGTAGTATATACTCCATATTTTGAGGTGGATCGTTGGCACATAATTCGAAACAAAATTAGTTGAGTATTTGATGTAAAATGTAAAACATATATTTTTTGGAAACACAGCAGTATGTGAACATCACATATTTGTGGCGTGGTTGCATTCATTCGCGTTATCATGATTTATTATCTTCCCAGAGCTGTAAAAACGAAGATATATGGGATATATGTCCAAGTGAGCTCGCATTTCAAGATGTTGTTTCTGTGGGATACGTGACTGAAATCAGAAAAGCTGTTATAAAACGTAGCAACGGAATAGCCTTAGTGAAAATAAATAAAGGTTATATTTAACAAAAAATAAAATACATACATATATTCTACATTACTCATCAGAAGAAGATACAAGTGTTTAAATAAAATAAGACACATAATAATGTTGGTGTTCGAACTCAATAATAATGTACCCATTTACGTGTTGCATTGATATTTGTTACAGATTTTTTAGTGGACGAAAATGATACAGACACACTTCTACTGGAAATTAAAGTAATGAAACAAATCGCAGGATGTGAGCACCTTGTTGCAATGATGTATTGCAACATTAAAACAGGTTTGTAATTCTGCAATTATATTAATTCGTTTACTCAAATTTAAAACACAGTTACGTTAAACACTGAATTTCCAACTCACAGAACCATACTTCATGGCGTTAGAATATCCAGAGAATGGACTTATAAGTGAATACATGGCGGATGCAAATGCTGGGATATCTGAGATAAGCCTCGTTGAATTAACATCGATTGCGAGAGACGTTTCATGTGGTATGTCATTTCTGGAAAAAAATGAGGTATTGAATTGTTTTTCTTCAATCCTTTACCATGAGTATTGTCAGTGAAGCAATCATGTTAATAAATAAATGAACAAAAATCATAGTGTTAGCTATGAGCTAGTTTAATGCGCTCGCGATATTTTGTATGTCATTTTATACTTGTAATGTAAATGATTTACTCCGATGAAAATAAACTCATTGATACGTACTAATAATATTGTTTGTTGTGTGTGTTTGTTTTACCACAGTGTGTTATTCGCATACTTACTCTAAACAACATATACATCGATGGACACAAACGATGTAAAATATTTGATTTAGGATTTTCTTCTGCTGTTATGGACATGGAGAAGTTCAAGGCTAATACTAAAGTAAGACAAACGTTTATGATTTTTCATATTCCATATATATTATGTTGAGGATAATGTTAATAAAATTCCCTAGCATTTAGTAGGCTTAAAGCTTTTCGAGTTCATCAGACTTCTAAACCATGCAGAAGAATCTGTAAAAATGAGTCTCGCATTTGTAATATAGGAAAATAAAACAAGTAAGTAGTTTGAATTTAGAAATATCACTTTAATGAACGAGCTAGCTAAGCATCTAATTTACCGACTGTAACAAAGTCAGAAACTTTGACAAGGCAGCGGTTATCGGACTAGAAAAACACAACCACTATCTGATGGCGTCCCTTACATATCAATTTCCCAACACACCTTCAACAGACAATAGTTATTTCAACGAGGTTCCGCATTAACTTTTTTTTTCTGATTGTTTGAAATAATCTGTCACGAGAACAGCAATACATGCATGTATGTAAGCGACCAGATTGCACTCAGCATATGTTATATATACGTACATTTATGTTCACTGTCAAATTATAGCATACCTGCTTAGTTGAAACAGTAAATTGACTGGTCTAGGAATTTAAACGGAATTGATAAGGCTTTGACTTCTTGTTCTCGCTACAAAAGAATATCGATTTTAAAACAGGCACGTTTACTTTAAAATGTTGAGCAAAGACAATAATAATGTCATCAAGTAGTGGTAGTTTCTTGAACGTTCCAGGTTCAGGAAGAATAATTTGCATGTGTGGCATTTCTATTAAATTAACATTGCTGGGGACAATAATGTGACGTCACAAGTGTAACTAACTAAAGTACGGCCACGGAGATTCTAACGGCCTGTGTGAGGTCTCGTTCCCAGTAAACGGGCATCAGACGTTTTCTAGAACCGAGACCCAAATATTTCCTAACTACCATTAGCGCTCCAGTTACGGTATTCAACGAAGTAATACTTCGAATTTGGCGAGCTTATGGTGTTTTTGCGCCGTTGTCGTGGGTAGGATGTCATTAGGCAATGCAAGTGACATTCAGGAATCTCAAATTATTCTTGTATCCGTCATAGTGAACTACAAAACATTTGCTTAGCTATATCAGTATAGCATTCACTTAGCTGGTTGATCTGAAATTCATTGGTACGAATCCAGGTTGTATCTGCTTCAAAATTTTAATAGTGAGAGAAATGCTGAAATGTACTGAAAACCAGTGCTCCCCATTTTTGCAGGCATTGTATATAAAAATAAAACTAGTAAACAAGTACTGTTTGCAACTAAGAAAGAATAATTTCCAGTAAATGGTGAATAAAAACTGTCCGCATTTGATCATAGAGATGAGAACAGCCTAGTACTGAAAACCAGTGCTCCCTATTTAAGTGGACATTGTATATAAAAATAAAACTAGTAAACGAGTACTGTTTGCAACTAAGAAAGAATAATTTCCGGTAAATTGCGAACAAAAACAGACCGCATGAGTCAAAACGAAGTATTACTGTAAAGATGTAATAGTATGTACATTTTGAAGATTTTCAATGTTAATTGAAATTGAACTATTGAAAATCCTCTTAACCACAAACGTAATGCAATTATACTTACGTCAGCAATTTATTTTTATTTATTTTTACCACAGGGATGTTTGCCTATCAAGTGGTTATCATTAGAGTCTGTATTGGATCAAATATTTACGAGTAAAAGTGATGTATGGTCATATGGTGTTGTTTTGTGGGAGATATTCTCACTGGGTAAGATAAGAAAATATATAAATGAAATACTAAATATTCTATAGAAAATAATGTACCATTATTGTACACTGTCTAGACTTAAATTATTAAATCATTATGTGTTGATAAATTACTATTCCTTTAAAAGTAGGATTATATTATACTTTCATCCGCATTGACTATGTTATAATTCCCAGGCAAAAAACCGTTTCCAAATATATCCGGCAAAGATTTTATACGCAGAATGCAACGAGGCCTTAGACTAAAGCAACCAAAAGAAAGTGACAGTGAAATGTAAGTAACGTAGTGCTAGTGGCCATGGTCGTTTATTTGTCCATCTGTTCGTTCTTTCATACGTTCATCCGCACACCTTATTATATTGCAATTGTATTGTATTTTCATCCGCAAATTGTTTATTTACACACCGTATATTGTTGCTAATTCTAGCTACAATATGATGATGCGATGCTGGGCAGAAGATCCCTCTCAACGACCGACATTTGAGGCTATTCATATGCAACTTGATAACAATGTTAAAATTCATTAGGTATCTACTGCCACAATTCTAAAATTTACATCAAATGTATTGACAATAAATGAACGTGTCGAACTCAATACATTTAATGGTACATTACATGTGTACCTCACTCAACTTATTCCTATGAAGATATATATAACTTGCTTATTTTCTATACTCAAACGCATACATACAAACTTATAAAATGTTTTCTGCTTTACAGGGATACAATCATCTATCAGAAGAAAGAAATACAACCGCTACCAGTGTTTAAACAACGATATTGAATAATTTTAACAGAACAATGTATTTCAGAATATGTATCGTTTATTATGATTACTACTTTCGATACTCTCTTACGATACTCGATACTTCGATACTCTCTCTCTCTTATGTAAATGTAAAACTGTTTCCATAATTGTTAATTTTATTACATATGGGTAAACATAATTATGTAACGTTCTTACACTTTGTCAGGTTATTGAAATGGTGTGTCTGTGTATTCTCTCTAGTATTGTCAAGAATTGATGCCTAGATTTTTCTTATTATTGTTTAAGTTCATTTTTTTTCAACACCAGGAAGCACGCGACAGTTAAATTCCCGTCGCTGTCACATATATAATATGATACGGCACACATAAACGACGTATACCTGTGGTCAGTTGTTCGGAAAACTAACCTAATCTGTTGAGAAGTATATGCTTAGTTTCTGTCGAGATGAATAACGAAGTAAGTTATCAACCTCAATAAAATGATTGCGCCAAAGAGAAGTTCACATTGACAAACAAATAAAGTATCAGTAAAGGATTTCTGGGGCCGGTGTGTAGCGACTATCACAATAAAATATTCATGGTAATAATCACAATAACTGTATTGTCTTATATTTTTACACGTACTTCACGATATTAAATAGCTATGGAAATTGAATAAAATGAACAGTATAGTATCCCATAATACTATTATTGTAAATATGTCACCGTAAAAAGTTACAGCGTTTTGTAATTTTGCGGTATTGCACTCTGTAATTTCATTTATATTAGGACACGCTAATTTCAAATATGGTCCGATTACGCGCGTTAGCGTCTTCTGATAATAAAAACAATACGGTTGTCCCATGAGTTTGATCGTACCCCACACAAGTTCCTTTAGGATTTCGATATTCCCATGATGTATCCTGGAAAGAAAGGATGTATATTAATACATTATTAGGAGGATACTCTAAAGTATGCATTCAGACAGTACGTGGTCGTATCGATCTTCACTGGACGTCGGTCGATACTCCAGCTCTACTGTCTTCGTGCATACTTTGAAACTCGAAATAACCTCATACGATAATAAATAAATGTTAACAGGGCAGTCCACCACCTTTATCTTTACATGATGTTAGTGTACACCATTAATAAGTTAGTAACAAAACAATGTATTTCCTCATAATAAGTAACGCATTGATAATAGTGATTTGAGCGACCGCATATAACCTATATTAGGTAGAGCAGATTGATTTTATGTTGATAAACTTTATATTGGAAACATTTTTGGCATTATATTATTAAGAATAGTCTTAGAAATGCATAAATGATTCAAAATAATTAGTTAAATTAGATAAATACATTTCGCTGACAATAAGTTAATATTTCCCGGATGTTAAAGAGTCTGATGTAATTTTTGAGTGATGTATTAATGACATATATATACACCAAATTCGCCGGAAATGTAATATTCAAATAAATTGAAAGCGTGAAAAAGTATACACACAAATCGTCTGGTGAAAACTCATTTGCGCATGAGTCATACGTCTATTCGAACTGAACAATTTTTTACAAAAATTATACATTTTTCCCCACTCCACAGTGCGAGTGTCAATCTCGTATATGCTAATATTATAAATATGACTATATGCAACATTCTCTCTATCATAGATCAGGGCTCTCATAATAAACGGGAGCTATGCACGCCAAGACATGGAACTTCTTCTATGATTTTAGACACACGAACTTCCGTTTTAGTAGCTTTCCATCTAAATATTGATTGGTGAGTAAGATATCCTGTTTATTGCTTGAACGCAATCATTCAAATTATCTTCCAAATTTTCGATCGTTTTTTTCAATGATAACGTAAGATCTGATTATTTTTTGGTGGGTATGGGAGTGAAATAGTTTAACATATGAAACCAAGATAGTTCCACAGGGAAACCACCCCTGTTGGAAATAAGCACTAACAAGTAATATTATTTGATATTATACATCTATTGTTTATAATAAAGTTAACATAGACAAAATTTAGTCACCATTTATTGACAATGGCAGAGTCTCCCCTCTCCAACATTATATCATTATATTGTATCAAGTGATTATGAATAGGTCTGAGTACATGAACCTTGGTAATAAACCTATATATGTTGACCCAGTGTGTCCAGTGTTGACTTGTCTGTGTGTACACACTTCACACATGTCAAGAGTTGAATTATTGACGGAATAACACACAGTGATTTAACTCAATGATATTTGCCAACTACGAAAAGTAGAGCAAAAAAAAAATAACTGGATACAATTGATATTATAGAAACCAAAGTATTTATTTCCTCATAATGAGTGATGCACTAATCACTAACTTCTCTCATATCAGCTCGATGTGTCACCTGCACGA